TGCAAATCTTTTTTATGTCTGGCTTAATAGAAGTTAACTGGGTTCTTACTGCCTGTATATCCACTCCATTAATATTACAATATATATTATTCTGGTGAAACTATATGGAGAGGCCAGGCATGGTTGATGATGCTTGTAATCCCAACCCTTTGGAGGCTGAGGCGGGAGGATCGCTTGCGGCCAGGAGTAACATAATTGCCCAGCCTGGGCAACATAGTGAGATCCTATCTCTATAAAATTTTTTTAAAAAATTAGCCAGAGTGATGGTACTACACACCTGTAGTCCCAGCTACTCAGAAGGCCAAGGCAGGAGGATTCATTGAGCCCAGCAGTTAGAGGTTACAGTGAGCTGTGATCATGCTACTGCAGTCCAGCCTAGGTGACAGAGCAAGACCCTGCCTCTTAGTTTGAGGCTGAAGGCAGCGCTGGTGTAAGTCTCAGAATCTGAGAATAGGGAGTTCCTATATCCAAAGGCGGTGGATGTTCTAGTTTAAGAATAGAGGGATTGGGCCGGGTGTGGTGGCTCACGCTTGTAATCCTAGCACTCTGGGAGGCCAAGGCGGGCGGATTGCTCAAGATCAGGAGTTGGAAACCAGCCTGAGCAAGAGTGAGACCCCATCTCTACTATAAATAGAAAGAAATTAATTGCCCAACTAATATATATATGGAAAAAATTAGCAGGGCATGGTGGCGCATGCCTGTCGTCCCAGTTACTTGGGAGGCTGAACCAGGAGGATTGCTTGAGCCCAGGAGTTTGAGTTTGCTGTGAGCTAGGCTAATGCCACAGCACTCACTCTAGCCTGGGCAACAAAGTAAGACTCTGTCTCAAAAAAAAAAAAAAAAGAATAGAGGGATTGGATGATACGCATCGGCATTGATGTGGGCAGGTTCTTTTTATTCATTTACTGATTCAAATGCTAGTCTCTTAAAGAAACACCCTTATAGACACACCAGCTATCTGGGCATCCCTTAGTCTAGTCAAGTTGACATGGAAAATTAACCAATACAACTCCTTCAGGTTTGATAAGTCACTAGAAGGACTCTCAGAATTAACTGAAAACTGTTATAGTCATAGTTATGGTTTACAACAGCAAAAGGATACAGATTAATGTCAGCCAAAGGAAGAGACATGATGGGACAAAGTCCAGGAGAGTTCTATATACAGAGCTTCCAGTTGTTCTCTCTCAGTGAAGTGGACAGTGCTAAATTCTTCCAGCAACAGTGGATAACAACAGATAGAATATTGCCAACCAGGGAATCTCAACCAAACTCTGGTGTCCAGAGTCTTTATCGCAGCTCTTCCCTGAAGACATAGTCTACTACCTACATAGCTGATCTTAGCCTCCAGCCCTTTGAGAGGGTGGACTTGATACCACATGACCCAAAGCCCCCGAGGGAAACCACATTCTTCAGACTATCTGGTGTGGCTGTAGGCCCCAGGTAAACAGAGATACTTTTTTTTTTTTGCAGTCACACAAGAGGAGGTTTATTTTCTGGCTAGCCAGGGTCCAAGCCCCAGAGCACCAATGCAGTGGCCACTCTCGCAGGCAAAGACCCCGACTGGAACAACGGCATGCCTTTTATCCCCATGGTGCACAAGCTGCGCACAAGCCGACTACGCATGGATCATGCGTTGACCTTTAAAATGATTGGTTGCCCACTATTGCCTTTTGAAATAATTGGCGGGTTGGTTGCCCTCTATTGCCTGATGGGCCAGTCGCCTGTGCTTCAATGACCTCAAGAGATACTTTTATTAGGCAGGACATTCCAAGGGTTTAGAGATTACCTCCCAGAAGCCTAGGGCAAAGGCCAGACCTCTTTTTGGGAAAGGTTAAGTTATTTACTACACAGGATGTTCCCATGTCATCACAAAGAATATTTTTAAAAGTATACTCAAGGGTCACAGCTTAATAAAACTATTCATTTTTATTGCTTCATCAAAACATTCTTAGGTAAAACTGGTTTTGTTCTACAGTGAGTGAGTGGTAAAAAAATACGAAGTGCACTAATACATTTCGATGCCACTGCCTAGATTGTGCTGGACGTCAGCAGCACTTTTACCCACCATTGCTTTTATGCCATCAGTGTAAATGTCAACATAGTCAGAAAGGCAAATAATATGTTATATTTTATTTTAATATTTTTATGAAAATAGTTTTTACCATGGGCATGCCCTTAGATACTTTGCTATAACTCTATAAGCACTCTATTTGTAGCTTTACCTTGTTTTGTAATATAATCTCATAGAGCAGTGGTTCCCAGCCTTTTGCTACCAGGGGCCGGTTTCATGGAAGACAGTTTTTCCATGGACTGAGGATGGGGCTGCTGAGGTGTCATAGGTGGCAGGGGAGTGTGGCAGGGAGCTCAGGTGGCAATGTGCAGCATGTTTCCTAATAGGCCATGGACCAGTAATGGGCTGCGACCTGAGTGTTGGGGACCACAGTTCTAGAGGACCTAGACTGCACTACAGGTTCTTTGAGGGTAGGTTGTCTTCTCTGTCTTTATGGTCTCCATTCTACCTAGCACAGTGCTTTGTACATACTTGTTGAGTTAATGTCTAGAACTTTTTCATTGCTTCAGGAAATCTTTCCAAAACTTTTGATTAGGTCTTTTTTTTTTTTTTTTTGAGACAGTCTCACTCTGTTGCCCGGGCTAGAGTGCCGTGGCGTCAGCCTAGCTCACAGCAACCTCAGATTCCTGGGCTCAAGCAATCCTGCCTTAGCCTCCCAAGTAGCTGGGACTACAGGCATGTGCCACCATGCCTGGCTAATTTTTTAAATATATTTTTAGTTGGCCAATTAATTTGTTTCTATTTTTAGTAGAAACAGGGTCTCGCACTTGCTTAGGCTGGTTTCGAACTCCTGACCTTGAGCCATCCTCCTGCCTCGGCCTCCCAGAGTTCTAGGATTGACTACAGGTGTGAGCTACTGCGCCTGGCCTTGATTAGGTTTTTTAAAAACGCAAATAAAGGATGACCTCTTCTTCCTCTCTTTTGTGATATACTTTTTTTTTGTTTTGTTGAAAGGTTGTCAAATCTGTACAGATTCTCTAGAAACTTGAGAATCAGCTTTGATTACATTTGCCTCATTAACATTTAAATCAGTCACAGAATTCTGCTTCCTGCCATCCTGACTACTTCTGTCATGGTGCAGGTACTCCTCCAGACTGGTGTGACAGACTCTAGCCTTCTCTCCATATCTAGTTTTACTCTCTTCAAATCTATCCCCTGGTATCCACCAAGACAATCTGTTTGAAATGCAGATAATAATAGCTCACAGTTATATTGTGCTTATTCTATGCCAAGCACTCTTTAACATATTTAATCCTCAACTTTATGAGGGATGTATGTTTGTTATCCTTACTTTGCAGATCAGAAACCTAAGGCCCAGAGAAGTAACCTAGCAGGTCTGATTCCAGAGTCCCAACTGTCTACTCTTACCTGCACTAGACTGCTGCTCACTACTTAGCTTCAAACCTGTTCCTCTTGTCTTCAAGCCAAAGATAAGCTCCTAAACATGGCATCCAAGACTTTTCATCTCTGGCTTCTGCTCTCTTTTGGGACTTCTCTTATTTCATGCTACAAGCTCTGGTGATTCAAATCCTCTTGTATTAATAGTTTACCTACACATAATACTGTTTCTAGCCTCTGCACTTTGGGTGCTGTGTCTTATGTGCCTGGTATGATGCCCCCTTCACCTCATGGGTTCCTACTTAGCTTTTGAGACGCTGCTCAAGTGCTAGCTCCTCAAGGAAGTTTTCTTCCACCTTTTTCCTTTGTTCTCTTCCCTTCCCCCCAGATAAAGAGCTGACAAAACAGGGTGTCCCAAAAGTCGCCATACATAGGGAAGATGGGAAATTGTAGCTAAATGTACCTGTGTTTACAAAATGTTATAGAATTTTTCATTTGTAGTCTCCATACAAAGAAAAAATCTTGTAATAAATATTTTGTAAATTACAAACATATTTTATAGCCCTAATCCCAATAACTTTACAAATATAGAAGTCTCCATACAAAGAAATATTTTGTAATGAATATTTTGTAAATATAGGTACATTTAGCTACAATTTCCTGTTTTCCCTATGTATGGCAACTTTTGGGGCACTCTATAGAACAAGTGTCCTCAAACTACGGCCTGTGGGCCACATGCGGATGTTTTTGCCCGTTTGTTTTTTTACTTCAAAATAAGATATGTGCAATGTGCATAGGAATTTTTTCATAGTATTTTTAGAACTATAGTCTGGCCCTCCAATGGTCTGAGGGATAGTGAACTGGCCCCCTGTTTAAAAAGTTTAAGGACCCCTGCTATAGCATAGGGCAGACAAAGCAGATAACTGTATATCAGGCAAAAAGTAAGAAGTACAGTGAGAAAGATAATTATAAGGTATAAGGAAGGAAGCTGGTGTGATGTCTCACATTTGGCAATCCTAGCACTTGAGGAGGCCAAGGCTGGAGGATCACTTGAGGTCAGGAGTTCAAGACTATCCTGAACAACATAGCGAAATCCTATCTATACAAAAAATAAAAAAAATTAGCCAGACATGGTGATGCATGCCTGTAGTCCCAGCTACTCAAGAGGCTGAGGCAGGAGGATCACTTGAGTGCAGAAGTTTGAGGTTGCAGTGGGTTATTGTTGCACCACTGCACTCCATCTTAGGCAACAGAGCGAGACCCTGTCTCCAAAAAAAAAAAAAAAAAGGTATAAGGAAAGTAAATGTTTTGCATTTAGCAGCATGTCCTATATCCTAATCCAGACTATCCAGTTCTTTGAGGGCACAGACTCATTTTATACCGTCAGTATTTGTTTCATAAACAAAAAGTGAAAAATTTAAGAATAAATTAACACAATATTTCTCCTAAACAGTATTTCGTATTTCCCTCCAAATCCTCAAAATTATGGATTCTTTCTTTTAGACTTTTGGAAAATTGTATACATGTAAATTTCTAGGATTTTGTATTTTTTAAGTGATGAGTTTTCCTTCTCTCTTTTTTCTTTTGTAAGCTCCTTGCCCGACTTGAAGGTAGAAGTTCCTTGAAGGAAATAGAACCAAATCTGTTTGCTGATGAAGATTCACCTGGTCATGGTAAAACACAACCTAAAATGAAAATATAATGACATAAATTAACTTTTATAAAACAAATCGTTTTTCACATATTCCTACCAAGAAGTTATAAAGGTTAAATTATATAATTAAAAACTGAGAAATAGATCATGACAACTGAGCCAGATGAGATGAAGTTTGGCTTATCTGTAGTAAATATTCAGGTTATACATTGACCTCCCTCTTTGATCCCAACACACAACATTTATCGAAGTTTTTTTTTTTTTTTTATGTCAATTTTCTACTTCTGTAATTTATCGAAGTTTTGTTATATTTTATGTTTTACTCTTTCTTTTTTTTTGAGAGAGTCTCGCTTTGTTGCCCAGGCTAGAGTGAGTGCTGTGGCATTAGCCTAGCTCACAGCAACCTCAAACTCCTGGGCTCAAGCAATCCTCCTGCTTTAGCCTCCCGAGTAGCTAGGACTACAGGCATTCACCACGATGTCCGGCTAATTTTTTTTTATATATATATTTTTAGTTGGTCAATTAATTTGTTTCTATTTTTAGTAGAGATGGGGTCTTGCTCTTACTCAGGCTGGTCTCAAACTCCTGACCTTGAGCGATCCTCCTGCCTTGGCCTTCCAGAGTGCTAGGATTACAGGCATGAGCCACTGTGCCCAGCCTGTTTTTGATTTTTTTAATGTAGCAACTTTATAGACATAAAATTCACCCATTTAAGTGTATAGTTCAGTGATTTTTAGTATATTCACACCTTTGTGCAACCATTACTATAATTGATGTTAGAACATTTGCATCACCCCATAAAGAAACCCATGTCTGTAGTTGTCACCCTTCATTTTCCCCCATGTCCCTCAGCCTTAGGCAAATAATCTACTTTCTGCCTCTCTAGATTTGCCTTTTCTGGACATTTCATGTAATTGGGATCATACAATATACGGTCATCTGTGACTGGCTTCTTTCACTTTGCATAATTTGTTGGAATTGCATAATTCAATGTTCATATTGAAGTGTGTATTAGTTCTTTTTATACTGTTGAATAATAGTCATTGTTTGGGTATACCACATTTTGTTTTATCTGTTTGTTAGTTAATGCGCATTTGGGTTGTTTCCTATTTTGGGCTATTATAAATAATGCTACCATGGTTATCTCTGTACAGGTTTCTCTGAAGGTGTTTTCAGTTCTCGTAATACCTAGGACAAGGATTGCTAGGTCATATGACAACTCCACATTTAACCTTTAGAGAAACTGCCAGACTCTTTTCCAAAGTAGCTTCACATTTTATTTGCCACCAGGAATGCATGGTGTGATCGTTCCAATTTCCCCACATCCTGGGAATAATTATTGTTTGTCCTTTTGATTGAAGCCACCGTAGTCAGTAAGGAGTGATACCTCATTGTGGTTTTTGATTTACTTTCTGTGATGGGTAATGATGTTTAGCATCTTTGCATGTGCTTATTGGCAATTTCTATACCTTTGGAGAAATGTCAGATCCTTTGCTTATTTTAAAAACTGGGTTATTTGTCTTTGTGTTATTGAGTTGTAATGTCCTTTATTTATATATTGTAGATATGTCTCTTCTCAAATATATGATTTTGCAAATATTTTCATCCATTCTGTGGGTTGTCTTTTCACTGTTTTGGTGGTGTCTATTGAAGCAAAAAGTTTATGATTTTCAGTGAAGTCTAGTTTGTCTACTTTGTCTGTTGTTCATGCTTTGGTAGCATATTTAAGAAGCCATTGCCTAATCCAAGGTGGGGAAGCTTTACAGTTTCTTGTTGTTACTGTTTTCTGTTTTTGTTCTTTTCTGATTGGAGAACCTGCTTCTGTGATTTCAGTCTTTTTTTTTTTTTTTTTTTTTGAGACAGAGTCTCACTTTGTTGTCCAGGCTAGAGTGAGTGCCATGGCGTCAGCCTAGCTCACAGCAACCTCAAACTCCTGGGCTTGAGTGATCCTTCTGCCTCAGCCTCCCGAGTAGCTGGGACTACAGGCATGCGCCACCATGCCCGGCTAATTTTTTATATACATATCAGTTGGCCAATTAATTTCTTTCTATTTATAGTAGAGACGGGGTCTCGCTCTTGCTCAGGCTGGTTTTGAACTCCTGACCTTGAGCAATCCGCCCGCCTCGGCCTCCCAAGAGCTAGGATTACAGGCGTGAGCCACAGCGCCCGGCCTTGATTTCAGTCTTTTTAAGTTTATTGAGACTTGTTTTATGGTCTCACATATGGTTTATTCTAGAGAATGTTCAATGTGCAGTTGAGAAGATTGTGTATTCTCCTGTGGTTAGGTGAAGTGTTCTGTTGAAAGTCTTCTGTTTCCTTGCTGATCGTTTGTCTTGTTCTATACGTTATCGAAGGTGGGATATTGAAGTCTCCAAATATTGTTCAATTGTCTGTTTCTCCCTGCAGTTCTATATGGCTTTGCTTCTTGTATTTTGGGGCTACATGTATTCATGTTATTATGTCTTATTTCTAGTTGACCTGTTTATCAAATGTCCATCTTTGTCAACTCACACCCATTAGGATGGCTACTGTCAAAAAATTAGAAAATAACAAGTGTTGGTGAGGATATGGAAAAATTGGAACTCTTGTGCACTGTTGGTGGGGTTGTAAAATGGTGGAACTATTGTGGAAAGTAGTGTGGAGTTTCCTCAAAATATTTTTTTTTCTTTTTTTTTTTATTTTTTGGTGAAACCTTCAGTCCAATCAAAATATTAAAAATAGACTGGGCATGGTGGCTCATGCCCAGCACTTTGAGAGGCTGAGGCAAGAGGATCAATTTGGAGGCCAGGAGTTTGAGATCAGCCTGGGCAACATAGTAAGACCCCCATCTCTACAGAAAAGAAAAGAATTATCCAGACATGGTGGTGCACACCTGTAGTCCCAGCTACTAAGGACGCTGAGGCAGGAGGATCATTTGAGCCAGGAGCCCAGGCTGCAGTGAGCCATGGTTACACCACTGTACTCTAACCTCAATGGCAGAGTCAGACCCTGTCTCTAAAAAACAATAAAATAAAAAATACAACTACCTGGAGATCCAGTAATCCCACTTCTGGGGATATTACTCAGCCTTGAAAAGGAAGGAAATCCTGTCACATCTTACAACATGATGAAACTTGAGAACATTGTGCTAAAGTAAAATAAGCCAGACACAAAAAGAGAAGCTACGTGATTTCACTTATATGAGGTATCTAAAGTAGTTAAATTATTAGAAACCAATTAGAACAGTAGTTACCAGGGGCTGGGAGAGGGAAGAAATGGAGTTGTTTAATTGGTACAGAGTTTTAGTTTTGCAAGATGAAAAAGTTCTGGAGATCTATTTCACAGCAATGAGAATATACTTAATCCTACCAAACTGTACATTTAAAAGTGGTTAAGATGGGTAAATTTTATATCATGTATTTTTTTTTTTGAGACAGAGTCTCACTCTGTTGCCGGTGCTAGAGTGCCACGGTGTCAGCCTAGCTCACAGCAACCTCAAACTCAAACTCCTGGGCTCAAGCAATCCTCCTGCCTCAGCCTCTCAAGTAGCTGGGACTACAGGCATGTGCCACCATACCCAGCTAATTTATATATATAAATATATATATATATTTTTAATATATATATATATTTATGTATGTATGTATGTTGTCCAGCTAATTTCTTTATATTTTTTTAAGTAGAGATGGGGTCTCCCTCTTACCCAGGCTGGTCTCAAACTCCTGAGCTCCAATGATCCTCCTGCCTCGGCCTCCCAGAGTGCTAGGATGTTATGTGTTTTTACCACACACAAACACACAAAATCTCTTTGTTTCTAATAACAAGTTTTGTCTTAAATGTCTGTTTTTTTTTTTGTTTTTTTTTTTTTTTTGAGACAGAGTCTCGCTTTCTTGCCTAGGCTAGAGTGAGTGCCATGGCGTCAGCCTAGCTCACAGCAACCTCAAACTCCTGGGCTCAGGCGATCCTCCTGTCTCAGCCTCCCAAGTAGCTGGGACTACAGGCATGTGCCACCATGCCCGGCTAATTTATTTGTATATATATTTTTAATTGTCCAATTAATTTCTTTCTATTTTTAGTAGAGACGGGGTCTTGCTCAGGCTGGTTTTGAACTCCTGACCTTGAGCAATCCGCCCGCCTCGGCCTCCCAAGAGCTAGGATTACAGGCGTGAGCCACAGCGCCCGGCCTCTCTTTTTACTTTTAACTTTTGTGATTTAAGGATTGTAAAGTGTGTTCATTGTAGATAACCTATAGTTGAATCATTACATTCTGCCAATCTCTGTCTTTTGATTGGACTATTTAATCTATTTATAATTAGTGTAATTAACCATTTGCGCTCACTTGCTTTTTTCTTGATTCCTTTATTCTGCTTAGGATTTAATTTTTTAAATACCCCAGATTTTACAAAGTGCGGCAGTAGAATAAAAAAACTGGAGTTTCTTTTCATACAAACTTATTTATTTGGATTTTTTTGTATTTCACATTATTGATATATTCAAAGAGTAATTTTAATTACTCTTTAATCTCTAATTTTTGCTGTGTCGAGTCACACTTGACATCTGAGTGCAAAGAGTTAATGATAGGATAGAGTTTATGACTGATATTTTGTTGTCTGTTTTTTTGTTTTTTGGGTTTTTTTTTGAGACAGAAAAAAATTTTGTTGCCCGGGCTAGAGTGCTGTGGCATCAGCCTAGCTCACAGCAATCTCAAACTCCTGGGCTCAAGCAATTCTTCTGCCTCAGCTTCCTGAGTAGCTGGGACTACAGGCATGCACCACCATGCCCGGCTAATTTTTTCTATATATCTTTAATTGACCAGTTAATTTCTTTCTATTTTTTAGTAGAGAGGGAGTCTCATTCCTGCTCAGGCTGGTTTTGAACTCCTGACCTTGAGTGATCCTCCTGCCTCGGCCTCCCAGAGTGCTAGGATTACAGACGTGAGCCACCGTGCCCAGCCTTGCTGTCTGTTTTGTATATCTCTTATGTATTTTATGTTTCTCTATTTCTCCTTTCTGTTTTTTTTGTGTGTTCAATATACCATTA